GTTATATCTGATCAAATGCACATTATTATTCTTTAGTTTGGGTTAAACAAATCAATTTTGCTTGGTTGGAACAGCAGCTACGCTAATTATGTCTCTATTTGTTTCTCTGTTTTTGCCACGGGATTGCCACTAGGATTTACACAAGCTTCAGTCTGGATCCAGAACACCTGAGAAGAGATGATGCCAACTCCTCAGAGGACCTCAGATGATGCCAACCCTGAAACAACATACAGAACTACCAAATGTTGCTATAAGTTTGATTGCATCATATAATAATTGCTGTTAATAGTGTTCATCGTCTGTTTGATTATGTCTTTACTTGATTTTTCCGTACATTTCTGCCATATGTACATTAACTGACAGTCACCACTGATAAGCTACTACTAAATATTGTAGAAACTTAATTTGCTGTAAAGTTGCTTTGCAACGATTTGTATCGTGAAAAGCGCTATACAAATAAACTTGAATTGAATTTAATTAATGTGGTAGCTGAATAATTCAAGTTAAGCGGCATATTTAGCTTCATAAGCAGTTGTCTGGTAGCTTGTCATGAGAGGCGCTATTTTGCTAACGTTGATTTTGATACATTTGACAACACCAAGATGATGTGCTGCCACTCTCCTGCTCCATATCTGATTACAGTGTTCTCAAGGGCATCTTTGTAGGGTGGAGTTTTGGGGAAAAAAAGGAGCATCTAATTCAGCAGCTTCGTCTGAGTTAATTTCATAATGGCTAACACCACTAACAGCTTCAATTCCTCCTTACAACAGCGAGAAAGTGCTCTTTGCAAGCTCTCACACGCAGCGGAATGTAAATGCATGAGCGAATGTTCCACAGTTGTGACAGTCAACGTGAACTCCACCTGGCCTTCAGCTCGGAGGGTTGCTGACAGAGATGGACAGATCTCATCTTTCTTCTCCCTTCTCGCTCATGTAGCTGGCAAAGACCTCAGATCACCGCTCGCTCACATTCTGGCTGGGAGCAGCAAGGCTAAGATCCACAATGTCAGCGCTTGACAACGGCGTATGGCATACCGCTGAGCAAATCTGCCTGAAAGCTGTGCTCTTCCACACTCCATGAGACACTGAAACACTCATTACGGGCAGAGAGAAAAGTGAAAGGGCAGATTCTATCAGCCAACTATGACAAAATTCCTCAGCTCACGACTCTAATAGAGACACAACCCCTGAAACGTTCCATAATCTCACATAGCAGCGAACGTGGGGTCACGTGCACCGAACTGCGGAGTTCGGCAAATAAGAGCCACTTAATAAGAGAGCCCTCGGGCGCTGAGATGCCAAGACTCCCAAGATACATCCAAAGATCTGGCCTCATCTTCCCCAGCATCTCCTGTGGTCACAGGGATGTCGAGGGGACAAACATCTAAAAATAGCCTTCCTACTTCCATTTATAGAACGCACAAGGCAAAGCCACAGATCCATTTCTCTCATAATCACAAATCATCCCTTACTTTTCTTTTGTCTTTCCACAAAGCTGCCCAGAGCAAAAAGAGCGATAATGATTTCCAGTCAGAGCAGCTTAATTTACTGTTGGAACAATTCATTTCAATAAATTGGCAGGACCGGGCTCCATTCCATTGACGTTTTCATGCATATATTACATTTCAATCAAGATTTATGTCCTTATCAGCATTGTCTTGTCAATATCAGTGGCAATAGACAAAAGGGAATGATGTGTGAAGCAAGTAGCATTTCCCAAAGTGTGGACCAAGAGACGCACACAATAAATCAAAGACATTGAAATTATATTATATGGTAAAATTTTGTTTTCCAAGAATAAAAACTTTGAAATCAATAGTCAAATGACAATCTTAAATGGGACAGATTCTCGCAACTTTTCGGGGTGCAGTCTTAGTGGGCCATCTGTTTTGAGTGAGTAGGGCATATTGAGCCTAATCTCCACTAAACTTAATGCTCAGCCAGATATCAAAATGCAGAAAAATCTTAAAGAGCAGGGTGGTATAGATATGTAACAATCTTAATACAATAAAAACTTTGTAAAATGCTATAAATTACAATAACAACAAACAATGTTGGAGGATTTTCAATAAATTTCCAACCACCTGGGGTACCTGGGAATTTTTTACGTTTGGTAAGCCCTGCATTGTGATGTCTTTTCTCAGTATGAAGTTCATCCTAAGGCAAGTGATCACTCAACTGAGGAAAAGGCATTAATCATTATGAATTGATGTATGAATTACCTGGTTCTGTGCAGTTCTTCTCTGTCTCATTGTCTCCGGCTGTGGCCATAAGCCTTCGGCCCAGATGATCTCTGGGAACAGCAAACCCCTCCTGAAGCACCAGCCCATGACCTGTGAATAAAGAAATACACACATCATCTAAATTTACAAATTCAGAGCGTAGGCACCAAAGCTGTTGTGAATCCGCTTATCCGGATCCATGCATAACCAGCACAGATTTGAAGAAAATTACCGTCATTTGGCAAATAAATAATTTACGGACATTTACATACATACTTCCAACAATTTAATACATAATCTTATGTTGCACCTCAATGACAAGGGAATTTATAGTAGCATTAATAAGCCAGTCTGTGGACTCTATGCAGAGTTTGTGCAGCTTAAATGGACTGCTCCCCCCTGCAACAATTATATAAAATTTAAATTATTTAATAAATGTTAGTACTTATTCATGGAATTATATTAGGTTAATGAATTGTTCACTTAAGTCAAATTTTATAACTTCAAACAAATACCTTACTGTTTAAAATAGTTTTATAAGTTTAGCGTCACCTTGCATTACACTTCATGTCAACTATCCAAATACTCATCGTCATCAAGGAATAGTTAACAACTTAGAGCTAATTAGCCAAATTACTTGTCAGTTAGGCTTGGGGTTAAGTGTGTGATTCTGCGCCCTTGATTTGCCTGGCTTTCCGTTTTAATCAATGTTCCTACTGGATGTGCATTGTATCATGGTTAGCAGCACCACAGGGCTTATTATTTATTTTGAGAAAATCATAGAAAGAAACTGGTGTGAAGATTCAACCATGCATACTGTCCTAACAGCCAGAGCCTGAATTAGGATTTCATGCATCATATTTGCCTGCATTTTTATGCTTCAGCAGTCGATTTCAGCACATCATTTTTTTTCATGAGGATATGTGGTAAGGTCCAAAAAAAAAAAAAAGAAAAGAAAAGGATAATCATTTATCTTGTTCTGAAACTATGGCACACATTTAGTGGAACATATTTATTGGACAGTTGGCATTACAGCTGTTAATCACTGAACACATTGCGTTTATTCAAATTATATATAAAAAAAAAATTCTAACAGAAATAATAAAATATATGACGTTACTTTTTCTGTGCAACATGAAAGCAATTAACTAGTAGAATGACTAGGTAGCTGTAGTCATCACTCAGTTCTATTTTTAAGGATTTTCATGACGTTCAACTTAGACACTTCAACATCTGAGCTCTTCACATTAAGATTACATTGCAATTAGGGTCCACTAAACACTACAAAACAATAACTAGACTAAATAAATAAACAAATCTGAAAACTACAATGTCTTTACTGGTTACACGCAACAACAAATAGCATGAACAGTGTAGTCTGATTTACGAACGAATGACCCTTTTGGAGCAGATACTTTAATAAATCTGTCAAAGTGACTCTCAGACCATCAGTTTTAATCAGACCAATGACTCCCTTACTAAGTAAAATGGTTGAATGAGTGGTTGAAGTGGTTCTTGGCTGGTTAAATTTGGCACATCCTTCTCAAGAGTTAGCGTGTGAAATAGGTTTTTATAAATGTCAAAATATTTTCTATCCCAGTTTAATATACAATCAGCTAGCATTTTATATATTAATTCCTCTAAAATAACAAGTATTTAACTTACAAATAAGGTTATCAAAAATACTAAAAGATAAGGGTGATGACAATTTTTATTTTCGAGTGAACTATTCTTTTAATGCACAAAATACCTTTAAAAGGGCCACTCTTGATTCTATAAATATTCCCTATTACATTAGGAGTAGCAAAAATAAATAAAATAAATGTATTCCACACACTGAAATCTGCTGCAGCAAACCTGTCTAAAATACTCCAACTGCTCCTTAATCAAGAACAGAATAACCCACTTACAGCTTATGAGAAGCAGAAAAAAGGAGCAGTAAAGTTGTGTAACGAAGTGTCAGAAGGAGGACAGAATAATGAACTCAACAGCAATAAAAAGTTCATTTTCAGCCTGCATTAACTACAGTTATCGATGGAGGAAAATGAGATGGTGCAGAAGAACAGGAATGAGATTTGGGAAGCTGGCCCATATTAGGTGTGATGTTCTGTAATCACAGCAGGAGTGCACACTAGATGGACTCCTGACAGGCTTATCAGAAATGCCAGTATCCGTAGAGCCATTAAAGCAGAAAGCACATATTCCGCATACTCATCATTACAATATCATGTGCAGGTAATCCCTTAAGCCGCTTGTAATTTTGGTGTAATTAAACTCAACCGCACCCACTAGTATCGCTCAGCCAGGCAGGCAACGCTGTACACTTTGTAGACAATAAGACCAAGTGGAAAAGCTTGATGCAAAATCCCCTGTAATGAGACATCATTTGTGTCTGAGATGTGCTTGTACCACAGGGGTTTGAGTTGGGTATTCATTTCAGCTGGAAACTGCAGTCAATTGTATGTGTATTAGGGATATGCCGGTATCAAATTTTCATGTTGCGATTAATTGCTAATGCTTTTATCATGGT